CATTTAGTCCAACTCCCCACCCAAACCCTCAATAACCCTCAGTTTGTTCTCTATAGTTAAGAGTCTGTTTTATGGCTTGCCTTTTAAAAAATATACTATTCTATTTAATAATCACAAAAAGTCTTATTGATTAAATATATTGCCATACCCAGTTACATTATATATGTATTCTCCATATGACATCCTTTTATTAAAGCTCTTTATAGTTTTTAGCGTATAAGACACTTTGAAAGTGTTTAGTAGTAGTATAGTTAATCCTTTTTGTTTTTTTGGTTTTTTTTTAGATTTTTTTTTTTTATTCATGAGACACAGAGAGAGGCAGAGACACAGACAGAGGGAGAATCGGGCTCTCTGTGGGAAACCTAATGTGGATCTCAATCCCAGGACCCGAAGGCAGATGCTCAACCACTGAACTTCCCAGGCATCCTTAATTCTTCATGCTTTATATTATTTGTTCTAAATAGACATTAAATATTGAATTGATTTATACTAAAGTAGTTTTCCTGCTTCTTTATAAATGACACTCCTAATATGCCCCCCCCCTTTTTTAATGAAGGAGATGACACATCCATTCCTTTCTAGGCATTAACTGCAGTACCAGTAACTCTAGTACGTGTTATTCACAAGTACTGTCTTCAACTTCTTTCAGAAATGTGTTAAAAAAGGAAAGCAGCATCCTATTGGTATAAGAATATTAAAGGGAAACTGTCTTAGTCAAATAGAGGCATTTTTTGCTTTGTTTTTTAAGTTAGTGTTTGGGATTTTAAAATCTTTATCATCAAAGACAATAACTTCAGAGTTATAAGATTATCAACCTGATTCCAAACCAGCCATCATTCAACACTGAATCTTCTAAAAATATTTTTTTCATGAGTATTGGGTATATTACATTGACACAGACAAATCAGGCTTACATAATGACAACTAGGAGCTCAAATGTTAGAGTCAGTGATTAGATTTAAAAAAAAAAGAGTTTCAAGTGGTAAGGGCTACAAATAAGCAAAAAGGATGGATATTCATAAAAGTAAAATAATGAATGGGTTTAGATTAGGATTTTGAATCTTCAGAAGACATTAATCAGGTCAAAGAAGTTTTTAAGATATGCAAGGGATAAACATAAGAATAATTCCTATCTAAAAAGTAGATTTGGATTGCTTCGTATAAATCCCTAAGAAAAAACATTACAAAGTTGCTTTATGCTTTAAATAAGAATGACTCTTTTAGATATTAAAGCAAAGCTTTTGCTTTTAACTTATGAATGAATTATTAAGGCCCCAGACTAAAAGGACCTCAAGAGTCTATTAGAATCCAGGCAAGTTGGCATTGAAAGATTTCTGCTATCATTCTTCAATAGTGACAACTTAAAAACTGATCACTGCTTTTTGTATCCCTTGACATTTCATATACACTACACTTATCAAATGCATTGCCAAATATTCCTCTTTAAGCTAATTTTCTTTTTCCAAGCATATATAGAAGTATACCACACATAAAGAGAACGTAAAGTCAGATTATCAAAACATGGACACTTGAAACCTTAAAACAGGGCAATAAATAAGTCATGGCTAGCATTCCAGATGCACCCAAAACCTGGTCCTACCTCATTCACTACTCTTCCTTTCTCCTATAGTTACTTAATGTCCTAAATGTCAACACTGGAGATTAATTTACCAGTTTTAAATGAATCTTTATATAGAAGGACTCATAGATCTTACATTATGTATATTTATTCATATATTACATATGTTTATGTTTTCATTTTTCCTTATTTACCCCATAGTCTTGTACAATTCTTTCACAATTAACTTTTCTGTTATGCTTTTCTCTCAAGCACATGCAAAAAGTCTACTTTGAGGGATATGCATAGGTTCAAATATAGTAGATGGTTCCGAAAGTCCTACATCATTGGTACTAATTTTTTGAGCATTTTCAATAGCCAAAACTATACGGAGACAAATAATCAACTATAGAATATTCAACTACTGCTTTTCACTTTAAGTAGCATTACACAAAGTAGGTGAGTGAAAACAGCATAGCAATATTGATAAATAACTCTGTTTACTCCACAAATGCTACGTATACACTCCTTGCTGAGTAAAACTGTCTCTTGGGTCTCAGTCTGATGTTCAAATCAATGGAGGCATTCCAGGGTTATCTGTTAGTGTGGATCTTTACCAATTGGTATAATTTTTGTTCAGATCCAACACTTCTGGGTGTTTTTTTTTTTTTTTTCCTTTTGAACTACATTAGTTACCTAGGGACTGTGGGTGTGAGAATCCACTTCTGGTTTCTGTTTGTTTGCTTCTTTTGTTTGCTCTCTGCTGATGTTCAAGGTAGTTTTCGCAGACCTGGGTGCCTTTCTGCCACCTGTAATTACTTCTACTTGGGGCATGTAAATTACTAAACATTCTGATGTTTGAGATTTTCTAGCAGAGCTGCTTTAGGGTTTGACTTCTGCAGGAAGTGCAAGCTGAAATGACTTCCCTTTGGCCGTTATTCACATATAAGTTGACTGCACAAGGACATCAATTGCCTTTATCTATAGACAGCAATATCCAGGATGACCTGGTTATGTCTTTCATCATCTGTCACAGAGAAGTCACCTGGGGGTTCATTTATTTTCAAGGCTTTTCTTTCTTCACTGATCAAAGTTCTGGTGATTTCCCTTTTTTCTTTGTGGCACCTAATTTTTCTTGGCCTTTCCATTATTTTTGCATCTGTCTATAAGTTTCCAATGTAGATTCAGTTGTAAACTCAGAGAGGTTATACCAGAATGCTAAGTCTTCTTTGCTTTCATCTGACTTCTTTTGATTGAGTTCCATTTCTTGTATTTCTAGCATCTGGTGGTCTTTGTTCTCTAAAGATGATAGGATAGTAGTGATATCTGTGTATCAATGTCTGGCAAAGCCTGGGTAACTTTTTTTTTGTATGTTTTTATGCTATTTTTGAAGTTTCCTCTGAGCCACATGTTTCTGTTTTTGACACATTTAAGACAATATGCTTTTCCTGCCTAATTATTGACTAATTCTGAAATTCTTGAATCCCTTCTGAGCTCCCTTTATCATCCCACACTTTAGCAACTGAAGAATTGCCACCATCAAACTCCTGTATCATTCAAAGTCAGCATGCCATTACCCATGCAAAAGAGCTCCTTCAGATAGAGGCTGTGCTGTGGCATTTACCGTTGTCCAGCTCTTCAATGAAATTTACAGTGAAGTTAAATTTTGTCAGTCCTTCAGATCCTTTCAAATTTTCCATTTTTTTTCAGAGTTTTTAAAAGCTAAATCAAAATATTCATATTTCTTGAGTTTGCTAACACCTAAAATTTTTCCAGTGGGATTATTCTGAAGGTATAATTTTGAAATCCTGACCCCATTAGTCAACATGATCTCTACTTCTTAATGATGTGAGGGGAGTTCCTCCAGGGGGGAAAGTTACCTAGTCATTCTATTTGGTTCTCTGTCTAATAAGATCTGTGATCCTGTCTACAGCACTTTTCTGGTTTGTATGCCTAGAAAGACCGATTGGGACCTCAAAGAATGTTGGTAGTAATTTATACTTAAATATTTAAGAGTTCTGGTTGTGCCACATCCTTATCAGCATTTTGTATGGCCAATCTTTTTTGTTGTTGTTGTTTTAATTTTAGCCATTCTGGTGGGTGTGCAGTCGTGTATCACTACAATTTTAATTTATACTTCCTTTATGATTACTGATATTGGTCCCCTTTCCTAAGATCATTGGAAACCTGAATGTTGTCTTTGTTTAGTGTCTGTTCAAGTCTCTCAGCCATTGTTCTGTTTCCTTTTTATCTTACAGATTTATAGGAATTCTTTACCAATTCAGGATATGATCTCATTGTCAACTATTTGTGTGGCAAATGATTTTTTCTACTTTATTTATCTTATTGTGAAAATTTTCAAGCACATAAGAGAACATTTGCAAGAGAGCCTATGTCTATCATTATCCAGTTTCAAGAAATATTGCTCCATGGACAAACTAGTTTCATCTCTACTCCATCCACTTTCACCAACAATGGAATTATTTTGCTGTAGAAATTCCATACACACACACACACACACACACACACACACACACACACACATTATCTATCTACCTATCTATCTTGTAAAAATATCAGCTTCCATTTTTGGAAGAGCAGAACTAATTTCCAAAATGTACCTAAAACATCCTTATCAGATAAAAAGTATCTACTGGAAAACATTTTTAAAATAAGTCTTATTTATTAATCTTTCCATTACGAACCATGCTTTTTTTTTTCTCTTATTATTTCCATCCTTTGGGAGTTAAAAATTTTCTTATAAAATTGTTTTAAAATCTTACTTTTTTCCCCCCTCTTACTTTGAATTTAAAATCAATCTATCCATCTGGGCTTGATCTTCATGGGTCGTAGGGGTCAAGTTACTATTTTTTTCATGTATTGGTATCTATAAAGCACCTTGACTTTTTTAATACAGTGCTCTGTATTGTCACATTACTGTATATCAAATTTCCCTATATGAGTGAGTCTATTTCTGAATTTTCTATTCTATTCTGTGTATTTGTCTAACCTAGCAGCAATATTACATTCTCTTAAATACTACAGCTTTTAAAATAATTACAGCCTTTAAAATAATTCTTGCTACCTAGTAGACCAGATAATCCAAAAATGTTCTTCTTAAAGACATCTTATCTATTCCTAGAATTTCATGTATCTCAGTATATATTCTAGAATCAATTCATCAACTTTTACAAGTGAAAAAGGGTTGGGAATTCTTAAGACTGTATTTTATCTATAAATCAATTTGGAAAGAAGTTTATTGACTAATCTTGCAATCCATAAGGTTGTAATATTTCCTATTTATCCATCTATCTTCTTTAATTATTCTCAATATTTTTCCCCAATCAGATGTCTTATGTAATGTTTGTTAGATTTATTCCTACCTACATGACATATTTTGGTGTTTTTATAAATGGTTTTATATATGATTTTTATTTGCCTTATCTTTGCGCAGTGGCAGTATCGTAGCCAATGAGGTTTATCCGAGGCGCGATTATTGCTAATGATTTTTATTTGCCTTATTGTTACATGAAAGTGCTAGATTTTTTTCACTACAGTTTGTTTAAACAACTCAAAGTTGTTTCTTTTCTTTCATTTTTAAAAATATTTTATTTGTTTGAGAAAAATAGAGAGGGAGAGACTACAAGCAGGCAAAGGGGCAGAGGGAGAAACAGACTCTCCACTCAGCAGGGGCTTGATCCCAAGATTCTGATTTTTAACCAACTGAGCTACCCAGGCACCCCTTTTCACTACCTGTGTATTGCTCTACCTTCCCAAACTCACTTATAAATATGCATATGCAGATTTTTTTAGATTTTCTATGTATTCCACATGTTCAGTCATATAATCTGTAAAACACCTATATTTTTTTCTTGAATGTTTTAGCTTATATTTATTTTTTCCTGGATCAGGGAGTATTGAAAGGAGGGATTATTTACTCTATCAGAAGCAGATGTGATTGATGAATTTCTCTTTCACAAAAACACCTCAAACTTCTAACCCAACTTTATATCAAGAGAAGCATTTAAAAATTTTTGCTTTTCTTTAATCAATTTTTAAAAAGCCAATTCATAAATTTATGTTATAAAATAGGTTCCACCAGGCAGCCTGGGTGGCTCAGTGGTTTAGCACTGCCTTCAGCCCAGGGTGGGTCCCTGGAGACCCAGGATGGAGTCCCACATTGGACTCCCTGCATGGAGCCTGCTTCTCCCTCTGCCTGTGTCTCTGCCTCTCTCTCTATGTCTCTCATGAATAAATAAATAAAATCTTAAAAAAATAAAAATATAATAGGTCACACTATTATATAAATATAATATTAAAATTTATATATTATTATATATTAAATATATTTATATTACATAAATAAAATGTTATAAAATAGAACACCCCCTAATGGTGTTCAATTAATATAGTTTTCTCTACTGAGGTGCTAGGCATCTACCACTCTATGTTCTCATTGTTTGACTGTCTCTCTTCTACCTATCAGCCATTCAGTCTGTAAATGGTTGAATCAAAAACAATCACAAGAAATAGTTAACCTTCCTGGAGTACTTTCTTCAAAGAATATATGACCATCCCAAAGATATTTATATATATAATATATATATATGATATTATAGGTAATTTCACAGGATTCTTTATTTATTTGTTTCTTTGTGCTTCATAATTTTGCATCTAGTAACTAACCAATAATCTAAATCAAGGACTAGCAAACTATATGGTCCAAGAGTCAAATCTGGCCACAAACTAAGAATTTTTTTACATTATTATTCATTTTAAATAACTATATATATATATATATATATATATATATATATAGTCCTTGACCCCCAAATAAAGCTATATTTAATTCACTATCAGACAAGATTAAGTAAACACAACAAAACAAATCAAAACACTTAAGTGTTTCCACTTAATTGGAAGCCAGCTAATAGAAAGAATAGAGCTTTATAAAAGTGTGAAAAGATTTGGGTTTTCAGGTCGGTAAAACTTCTGGTAGTATTCTGATTATCAGAAACCCAAATTTATGGACTTAATTATATCCCACCCAAATTCAAACACTGAACCTCTAATCTAGTACCTTAGAATGGGACTACATTTGGAGATAGGGCCTCGAGATATGATTACATTGAAATTCGACCCTTAGGTGAGTTCTAATACAATTTGACTATTGTCCTTATAGGAAGAAGAAATCTGGGCACAAAGAGAATTATACCAGGGATGTGCAAACACAGAAGAGAGACCATATAAGGACATGATGAGAAGGTGAGAATTTGCAAGTAAAGGAGAGAACCCTAAGGAGACATCAAATCTGCCAAAACCTTGATCTTGGATTTCTAGCCTTCAGAACTGTGAGAAATTAAATTTCTGTTGTTTAAGACATCCTGTCTCTGGTACTTGGTTATGGTCGCCCTAGTAAATTAATACAAGAAATTAAAACAAAAACAAAAACAAACCCATAAAAACAAAACACCTCCAACCAATGATCTCTGATCCTCTGGGGACAAAAGTATGATTTTCAAGAAAACATCCAAATGCTTCCATCAAAACATAATGTTTATCATGTCATGAAGTGAATAATCTTGCACATAACCTTATTTGTTTCTCTTCTACTTTTCCCTTATTCTGTGAGCACTCTTTTAGTATTACCTTAATTTGAACCTTCTAGCAGAAGAGATGGGTAATAGAGTTTCTAGCATCTATGATTCTGATAAGTACAAAAAAGCAAGTTCAACAAACAAGAGGAAATTAATTATTGTGGAGAGCAAAATAAGTTGAGGTACTTTCTCCTACAATCATCTGTACTGGGTCTAACTGTAATTGACTCTTAAACAATACAAGACCAATATTGTGCTTTCATCACACATGATTTAACAGTCTCTTATACTTGGATGTGCTCATTTTCTCTCTGCAGAAGGAAACATAAAGTCTGATTAGTCACTATATTTATCTTTTTGATACCAATTTATATTGATTCACTTATAATTCCCTTCAGATATATTGATGAATTATTTTCAAATTCTATTTTCAGTTAAGAAGTGTTAGTTAGCAGATCAGTGTATCTCTTTGAACATTAAACAGATTAGACAAATTATCTACTTGAGGGCAATGGGAAGCCTCAGAAATAACTAAAGGGCCTGGGATACTAGAATGGGAAAAATCTCAGAAACTCAGAATCTCTCAGGGATGAGCAGTCCACAGCACATTTGACCCTGAGGACACTTGTTGGAACTGGGCTTGGACAAAATTCTGAGAACTATGTGTAAAACCTGAAGAAAATTACCAAGGAATTATGAGGGCAGAGAAGCCAGAAGAATTTTTTTCAATAAATTTGGAGTAATTTCAATTACATGACAAGTATCCAGTTTAGGATATTTATCAAATGTAAATAAAATTTACTGATTTAGAATTTAGGATCCATTAGGAAGAAGAACCCTGACAAACATATCAGACTTTTAGTTGTAAATCCTGGAATGTCAGAGCAATGCAGAAGCAAACTGAGTAAACTGAGCCTGACCAGAGTTATACCCTAATCTGATTTAGCATAGCTCCTGCTTGAATTGCCCACTACTACATTTAGCCAGGGACCTGTAAGATGAATTCTTTTTAGAGGAGTTAAATCATCTGGAGTGACGATACTTTTCACACTCAACATCTGAAGTTCCTTTTAAAATCATTATGTTTAAAAACAAAATAAAACAAATACCTTGACCAAAAGTGAAAAGGCAAAAAATTAAATAAATAAACAAACAAACAAACAAACAAATAAATAAATAAATAAAGGAGGGAGAATAGAAAGTGCCCTAAAAAGGATCCAGATATTGAGTGAACTGACAAGGATTTTAGACATTTATGGTTATTATATTAAAGAAATAGAGGAAAATATGGAGAAAAGAGATGCTAACTGAAGAGTCTCACAAGAGGATTTGAATCTATACAATTAGATTAAACAAGAATGCAAGAAATTGAAAAATACAACATTTGAACTCAGAAACTTATCTGATGGTTTAGACACAGCAGAATTCATTATAGGCTTCCACTGAATCTGGTTTATAGTCAACCAACAGACAAATTACTAAAGCCATTGACAGCTAACATACTGAAACTAGACTATCTGATAAGTGTGCCCACATTGATTAATTTGGTCCAATTCAATGTGAAGTCTCTTAATCCCTGATATACACCCTTAAAATTTAGCCACGCAATCCCTAAGAATATTTCCCAGATTTATGTCTCTCCTTCTCTGCCTCTCTGTCTGTCTCTGTCTCTCCCTCTGTATGTGTATATGCATATATATATGTGTGTGTGTGTGTGTACACAATATATATTCCTTCACAATCTTTCAATTCCTTCAGTGTGCATGCTATATTCACCTATACCAGACTTTGTTCTTATCTGCACGACCCATTCTGATTGCTGCTGTCCAACTCTAGTTATGTGTCTAGATTTGGTTGTGGGTCTTGTGAAGAACAGTATGCTCTTGAAAAGTTGATGCCTCAGATGAAAATATTATGGTCTCTACAAACATAGAAACTCAAAGATATAATGAAAGGCTGCACAGCCAGTAAGGAAGTCTTAAAGTATTTTTGAGTTTATGATTTCATTCATCTGCATTGACTCAAATATCCCCATCACCAGGTCCTGAATTCCACTCTCACTTTCACACATCATCCTTAGTGAAGTTATGGATTTAAATTATGTTTTAATTTAATCAACAGAACTATTCGCTGATGGCTTACAGATAATTGACACTATTTCAAGGTAAGCAGTTATTTTAGAGTACTTGTATAAGATTGCTAGTTCTCTAATGGGGATGAAGCAAAGATTTTTAAGCTCTAAAATTGTTATCTTATATCTACAGTATCTTTGGTGAAGTCAGAGGCAGCCATTCAGTCTGCTGTCATTTGGACTAATTTCTAACCTAAAATTCTGTTGGATCAGCACCTTGGGCTCCCAAACTTCAATAGGTATGCTATTCTAAACAACTGTGTGTTACAAGTTACTTTATGCTTATTGCAAAGTAGTGATTACTAGTATCACATGTTCTCATTAATTATAAAACTAATCTCAGATTCCCATTACTAAGAATAAATTTTCTAAAACCATTTCTAGTAGCAAATATCATATTAGTCTTTAATCAAGAAAACAGAACGATTATATATCACAGCAAATGCTTTAATAGAGTGAATTAAAAACTTAAAACAAATTTTGGAAAACATGACTGAGCAAAGGTTTCTAGAACTATTACTGGAGCTAAGGAAATTATTAAGTGCAGAAAATGCAGGATATTGACTTTTAAAAAAATGTAAGGTAATTATTCTGAATGTTATGAATGTTCAAAAGAAAGGATAAATCAACAATGGATTAAATAGAAAACTAAGCTTTGGCTGAAAGCGAACTAGCGGTAGTCAAAAGTACTTTTACCAATACAATTATCCAATCAACTGAAAAGGAAAAACCTGAAATGTCACCATACAGTTATTGACAGAACAATGTGATTAGACACCACAAAAGAAAATAAGTTCCTTTAACATAGAATACAAAAATTGTAACTGTTTCTAGACAGCTGCATACATCAGG